ATCGATCTCTATTATTATTTTTCAGTGATAATAGAGATCGATGACAGTAAGTTGTATGGCTGAAATATAGATTTGTATGGCTGGTTCCTTCGGCCCGCTCCTTTTTATGTGGCTTAACTTGAAAACATGCAATTAGGTAAATGCAAATAACAGTTTGTTATTGTTAACATTATTCGATAGTTAACTTTTAGTAAGAAAAATATTTTACTTTACTTTCTTTAGCATTTTTAGTGTATGTTGAAATGCATATTAAATAGCCTATGTAACTACTGTATGTAAGTTAAATTACTATTAGCCATATAAGAGTTAAACTTCATTAAAACCATGTTCAAAGTCTCCGTCAAAGTTTGTAGGGTGATAACCATAAATAAATGCATATTTCTTGGTATAATCATGTTTTAATGATATAATTGTATTAACTAGTAGCAGCCTAAACAAATGTTATGTTTTGACTTAACTCTTATACATTTTTAAAATGAAAAGAGATAGCTCTTTAAAAATAATAATAACCTACCAGAAAACCTGTTTAATTTAACAGCTGGAATACTAAATAATAAGTAAACAAGAAAATTAAAACCAAATTTTAAGTTTTGTACAGGGTAATGTAAAATATTAAATAATGCTTTAAGTTTAAGGTGAGTAAATAATTACTTTGAAAATTCATAAAACGATTTTAAGAGAAAAATAGTACATGCAGTACCTGCTAATTCCATAATGTTTGACCACTTAAATTATAATCTATTTGGTTTATGTTCTAACCACGAATACTAGATAAATACCAATATGGATCATAAACATAAACAAATGACGTTTTTGACCTGAAAGTAAACAAAACCCCTATAGTAATAGCATTGATTAACATACGGTTTTGTTTTCCTTCGGGGTCCAAAAACGTCATTTGTTTGTGTTTATGATCCATACCGGGTCTTTTCTAGTATTCGTGGTTCTAAAGTTATTTTATGCTTATTCATAGATAACAACATTTTGCATGGTTAGCTATAACCAGGACGATTAAATGATGGTCGGTATTCGGGAATCAATTTTAATTTAGTATTTGTGAAAGACAGACAATGAGAAAGAGTGATACTTTTTTAATGTACCCCAGCAGGTCTCTGATAAACTATCCTGCTAGGGAAATGCAGAAAGCCAATGGTAGATGTTTTCTTTCTACAAAATAATTGAGAGTTCATTGAACTCCCACACAATGGGATCGGTGTATTGTATAGTGTAACCTAAAATGTTAAATTATAAAACAAACACCCTAACCGCTCTTAGAAGAACGATTTTAAAAATGTCAAAAATATCATTATTTATATCGAACGATGGGTGGAACTTTGAAATAACATTAGATACATCATTATAACTGCGATAGATAGTTTTCAAGATAAATCATCTAATTTAGATACTGTATCTACCTATACATACAGACATTGTGCAATACAGAAAAACTAAAATGTTAAAATTATAACATTTATAACACCAACACGGTAACGTCAAAGAACTATTAGAATAGCCATAGAAATGGTACAAATTCCTTATTTAGGCCTATAGCATGCGATTGGTGCCATTGGTGAATTTTAAAATAAAACAACTGCGAAAAAATCTCAGTGTAATTGTAGACAGGGACCCGGATGAAGATTTTACGTATTTTTTACCAATCTTGGTCTACACGTGTATAGATCTACACGATTATCTAGTACAGAACAGGCAACAAACGATGTGTAACTAAAACATGAAACAAACAATTGCCCTTAAACTTCGTAATTACCTATGGAATTGAATCACCTACTTCCGTCATCAGTGGCGTGACAAGACACGAAGACAAGTGTGACAACATGACAACATAAAATATTGACACGAGCATGATGATCAACACGCGTCACGGGAGAAACAATTCCCACGTTATTGACCCTCTTAGCGACAAAAACTAGAGCAATAAACGACCCCTACTCCTCTTTATTTATTCAAAAGGAAGTATTACCAAACGAGTAGACATTTACCGCTCCTCTGCCGCGGACCGGAGAGTGTGTTAAATTGTGGGGCTGCCGCTGACGTCACTATGCCCATAGACAATAGATAATACCCCCGCCACAGCAAACCTGCAGACTAAGCGAATTTTTCACATGTCTGATTACATTTTTACTAAAATATTTCCATAAGACATATTTATTCCCAATTTAAATAACATTAGATTTAACGAGTGCTTAGGTTTGCTGCTACGGGGAAGGTAAAAAGTGTTTTTTGACCATACGCCAATAGTATAGGATGAATCAAATAAATTTGCCAAATTTTATCAACATATATCAAGTAAACTTAAGAATAACATGGAATTTTAAATTTACACTTTTTGAATTTTCTCTGTAACATTAGACATACAACAATGCTTCAATATACTAAATTATTTCTTTTTTTAAGCTCTACAAAATGGTTGGGAAAGATATTCCAAAATTTTATGTTTTTAAAAATGGGGTTTTCCCATTTTTACCCCATAAACCCCCGTTCCCATGGTCCGATCATGCTGGTTCACGTTCTTTGACGTTATAGTGTTGGCTATGAATTTCATAATAGCGACTCTTACAAAAGGGCTTGGATGTAGTTTTATTATTTATAAGTCCTAATGGATATATCATATGCCATCACAATCGTCAGTCGATAATGGTACAGTACAGTACCATCGTTTGGAACACCCAAATGAATGGACGAATGATCGTTCGTTCAAAACAAACTTGACACCAAGATCGCATACGTGGCTGATTCGTCCCTTTACAAGTAAGTTTAATTTATTTGTTTTGCATGGAAAAATAAAATATTTGAATTTGAAAAAATATTGCTTTATACTCGGTTATAGTAGTAAAACCTTCTCTTTTACAATTATACCATTCTGGTGTTGATTAGTATAAAAATGAAATTAGTAAAAGGTGTCGTGCTTATAAACACTATTGGTGATCTTAATCATTGGTTTTTTTTTATCCGAGGGAATATATAACAGTTTTTTTATCATATTCTAAAGGATCAACGCGCAGTTTTAGGTATGTGTTAAGATTTATACAGCATATATAAAGTTTATATATTTAACTCCTGATAGCAATAATACTTAGATATATTACTTTTAAAAGTTCCACTTATGTTTTTGACTATCCATTAAATTAATTTTTGACGGTAAAATATTTAAAAAAACGTATATTATAAATTTGTTATAGAAACATCAGCTATGAAAATGCTAGCTCATTACACAATTATCCCATATTTTAATCATGCGCATGATTTTTCAATTATGAATATAATTCCAGGTGATTTTGGAAATAGTTATGTTCGGGCTCATGTTGTTAAGCTATGTAGGTTATCATGTAACGCCAATATTACATGTTTTAACAAATAGTTGATATCTAGGCCTATATCTTTAAGTTCACAAATGAAAGATAGTTTTTTTTTCTAGAAGACATATATTTAATCGACTACAAGGTAAAGGTTTGACTATACAAAGTTCAGTAACCTAGAACACTTGTCATAAAATTTCATCAAATCATAAAATTTATGATTACTTCCTGGCCTACTAAAATATTTAATACTATATTTAATATGGTCCAGGCTCACTACCTCAACTTAACTCAATTTACTTGCTCAACGTATTCTATGTTTACATTGTATATCTTGCCCAATTTGAATTTATATAAATAGGTTTAATGTATATGAAATCATCCTTGAAGTCAATAGACACTCCTTTTATCTATGGCACAAGGGGTTTTTGTAATCTTACCTGTGATTCCTTAATATCAATTTAGATTAGGGTATGTTTTTGTTGGCAGCTGATGTTATTTTTTGAAATGGAACCTTAACACGTTTTAACGGTGAATTAATAAACTCAATCATAACATTGTTGGTTTGTTTGTTATGTTTGTAGTTTTCTTAATTTTTACATTATAACGTTATCTGGGTGTTAAAGACATACGCCATCGAACAGTATGACACTGTAAGGCTTTAATGAATATTTTAATTAAATTTTAGAAATGTAAGAAAACTAATTCTTACAGTTACGCTTAATAAAAAATAATAATAGTTTCTGTATGTATTTATACGATTGTGTGTCCCTTATGGTGTAGTGTATACGTTTTTTTAAGGGCCAGGACATCATCAAAGCACTGATTAATTACGGCATTATGTGCTACAGTATGTGAATAAAGCATTTTTTAATTACACTGTAATAATGTCTGCTTTATTATAATGCCAATTTATTATTATGAAGAATTAATTGTTATCTTATAGGGCCTACGTATTTTAATCAGAATCTTAATACTCAACTTGAACAGTTATTAAGAAACACCATTAGACTAAAGAATTTCACAGAAATCTTTACATTAAAAAATTTAATTATTTTATGCTTACACAGTTTAGACTATTAGAATTTATAGTCCGTTTCAGATTATATACGCGTATAATCTCTTATATAAATTTAGTAATGTAAACAAAAAAGGTAAATTCATATCGCATTCTTTTTGTTCATAAACAACATGAGAATTTAAAGGTCTATGCATAAAAAATGAAATTAAATTGTAAATTTATAGTAAATTATGTAAAATGCAATTTGAAACGACCTCATTTGGTTGGTTCATTCAAATAATACATAACAACACACTAGTTATGATTAAATTTTAAATCTCCCAATCGACAATACGGAAAGCACAAAATAGAATCACCCATGGATTTATACATTCATTCACAAACATAATCGCCATAGTAAAGGTTATGGTTATAATTTGGCTACTAAATAAGCTTCTTTATTCCCATAACTTCATAGCTGAGCAACCATATTACCAAGCCAACATTTAACTCATACCAGTTCAGTATTCACAAATGCAATAAATCAAATAACAAAACTAACTCTTATTTTATTACCTAACTTCAGTTTACACTTTTCCCGCTTATCATTACTCAATAAACTATACACCCTGGCTTATAATATATAGAATAAATATGAAAGATTAGAAAAAGGAAATAATTACTTGATAGAGAAGAGTAAATCCAGCGATGAGTAAGGGAATCACAGACACTGTCACACGGACCGGCACCGTCGACGGCGGCACGAACACAAATAATGTGTGTGTGAGTGAAAACACGGTTTGGCCTCGCCCCCTCGCCGAGACGCCTTCTGATTGGCCCACAGATCGTCCAATCACAGCCGAGCGGTGAGAGTTATTTGTTTGTTAAGTGATCGGGAAATTAAATTATTGTATTTACTCAGGGAGCAATCAAATGGTAAGTTAGCTCGGCAATCGTCTACAGTTCCCCGGCTAGCTTACACTATAGAGAGTCTCAAGTCCCACCTCTGATAGAGGATGCTTATCTGTACATTCATGACGATGATGATGATTGGTACACATCTGAAGTTAGCTTCACAGTTACCTGCAGAAGCCTAGCATGCTCTAGATCTAGTACTGAGCGTCATAGAGTTCTGTATTCTGTAATTTTAATGATGACGATGATGATGATACGAATGATGATGACCGTACACACCACCAGTCGGTTCGAAAACAACCTGCAGTTCCTTATCTAGCTAAAAATCTAGTACTGAGTGGCATATACTGAGTTTATGATGATAATGACTATGATGGTTCAAAGATTCAAAGAAGATTCAAAGATTTTATTAGGCCATTAAGTTTGTACAATAGGCTACGTCAAAGTACAATAAAAATTCAATAAAACTAAATATAAAAAGGAAAACAAACCAAACAAAACTGCAAATCAAAACAGCAAACCATGCAAAGGTAAATAAAAATTAGGCATACCTTTTTTTATCATCGGGTCCATGCACTACATGATATTTTAACCCTTCAAAGCCTCAAAATACTCATCACATTTATAAAAAGGATTTGTTATCAGCCAACTCTTTAACACTTTCATAAACTTCAATTTTGGCAAGTTTCTAATGGTAACAGGCAGAGCATTGAAAAATTTGAAACCTGAAACAGGGAAACACTTTTGACTTTTACTTAGCCTATTGCTAGGAGTATGTACATCATTACAAGTTCTAGTGCTATACGGATGGATGTCTCTATTGAAAATAAGATCATTTCCATCGATTTGATAGCTTCTAAGCACTGGTAAATATATACATTGATGACACTCATGATCTGCATATCAACAAAAAATGTTCTACAATGTGCTCTAAAAGGCAAATTACACATCACACGAATCGCTCTTTTTTGTAGCAAGAGGACCTTCTGAACCTGTGGGGAGTGACCCCAAAGCCTGGTTCCATACACAACGTGTGACTGAAAAAAAGAGAAAAATGCTAGTCTCACAAAGTCAGGAGGCAATTCAGATGTTAATTTCCTCAAAAGACAAATTACTCTGTTAAGTTTAGTACATAGGGCGTTGACATGTTCATCCCACACAAGCTCAGAGTCCAAAGTAAAGCCCAAGAGTTTGACAGAGTCACAAACAGAATTAGTTTTACTTAAGCTAAACATTATTTCTTGGGTTTTCTTGTCATTAAGAGCCAATTTGTTCCCTGAAAACCATTCAGAAGCTATGTTAAACAATCTTTTTGCGGAGTTACTGGCAATTACAGGATCAATGTGCTTTGCAAACAAGGTTGTGTCATCAGCATAGAGCAGTACATCGTTTGAAACAGAAAAACAGAGGTCATTCATTGCTATAATGAACAAAAAAGGCCCCAGTACTGAGCCTTGGGGCACCCCGTGTTTGACTGGCAGGGCGCCTGAATGAACACCTGACCAACTTACAATTTGGAATCTATCTGCAAGATATGATTTGACCACCTTGAGGGCACTCTCGCCAAACCCATATTTTTGTAGTTTTTTAAGTAAAATATCATGTGGTATACAATCAAATGCTCGAGACAAATCGCACAGCAAAACAGAAACAGAAGATTTGCTTTCAAATGCCTCCAGTATGACCCTCACAAGGGAGTCAACTGCCGAAACAGTCGACAAACCCCTCCGAAAGCCATGCTGGGCAGGAACAAGGAGATTGTGCTCCTCAAAGTGGTTACTCAGCTGCTGCAACATCACAGCCTCAAATACTTTACCTAAAACAGGTATCAAAGACACTGGTCTATAGCTAGAAAGATCTTTTTTAGGGCCCTTTTTATATACGGGAACAGTTCTGGATGTTTTTAGCACATCAGGGTAAACACCTTGCAACAAACAACAGTTAATCAAATGAGCCAACAAAGGTGCAATCACATTTACAATTTTTTTTCAAAAACTCAGTCGACATGTCAAAGATATCCTTACTTTTTGTGGATTTGAAACCGTTTACGATTTTGACAATATCGACAGCATTGACCATACTCCATTCATAATTTACATCTACAACAGGTATGTAATCAAGATAATCAGTATTATTTACAGGAATACCATCAACAATACTATCCACTGACTCCAAGAAGTAGCTGTTGAAGTCATCCGCCGTGGCGAAGTCAAGGTCAGCGGCAACTCTGGTACTGGGCCTGCTCTGGTTGATCAGGTCCCAAGCTGCCTTGCATGGGTTTGCAGCAGTGGAGATCATGTCAGCCGCTGCACGCTGCTTTGCCTCGCAGAGTTGGAGTCGATACTCTCTCCTCAATTCCCGAAGATATGGGATAAGATCAGGCCTATCCTTAGACATATCAAGCACTAGCAAAATGTACCTTTTTAAACCAGCAAGCTCCTCAGAATACCAATTCTTGATCTTTCCTTTGGCACCGTCAGATACTCTATCAGTTGACTTATGGTGAACAGAACACACTTCTTTAGCTTATTGCCAGCTGTTACAGAGTGCCGAAAGCTGTTATGCTGGGAAAAGAGTTTTACTGTATTTATATTTGAACGTTATGGACTCTGAAACCACTCGACAGATTGTAATGAAACTTTCAGGCATTATTAATAATTATTTAAGGATGGTTTGTGTGAAGTTTGGTGCAGATTCTTCAAACGGGCTCCGCCCCAGTGGCTCTGGAGTTTCCCAAGTTAACCTTATGAGTACAGTACTCGTATTTAAATGGAATTCAAGAATCTTAACAGCTGTTCCAACTAAACATTTTGATTCTGTGATGATCAACAGTATTAAAAGGTTACAAAATGTACCAACAGGGTGCAGCACTATTATTTGTCTAAATGTAAACTCGAGAACGAGTGCACCGAATTGAATGATTCATTTTTTGTTGGGTTCCTTAATGCCAGGGGAAGGATTTTATGTAAGGAAATTTATAATCCATCCAACCTTTATTGAGTAATTTGATTTAATTTTTTATTTTAATGGCCTTTGCATTAGCATTGGAGGAAAATGTTTTCATAAACTGTGGGATACAATAACAACCAAAACCTGAAGGCGAGTGAGCGCAGCGAACGAACTCCAACCAGCGAGCAAGGAATACCACCGAAAGGTGAGTGAGCGTAGCGAACAAACTTAAACCAGGACGAAGATTGAGTGATGCAAACTAGCTCATCTTGAAAATGAACGAGCATTTGACATAAACCACATTAGGACAGGACGTCTGTCGGGCCAACTAGTATGTAAGAAATAACTATCATCAGAACTAAACACAATCATAAATCCCATTTTAATAAACTCTAAACAAAAACAATCAACTGTAAACAAAAGTATTTTAAACATGTGATTTGATACATTAAGCAACATCAATTAACACATGATTTTAGACAGTATCTATCAATCATTTATGCAGATTTCTGTTAAACTAGGTTGCACAACTTGAAAATCAATAACCGGTTTTGGTAATCTGTGAGACATGTTTGACCTTTCGTACCCAAATGAGTTTTGACCTTGTAATATGTATTTACAACAACAATCTTAGTGGATCTTGGAATAAAAACGGTGAATGAAATGATTTGAGAACACTCCAAAATAAAGGCAATTAATTTTTTAACATACTAAAAATAAAACTAAATGAATAAACCGAATAAAGTATTTTTTGTGTATTTTAAAATATTCAAAATTATTTTATGATACAAAAATACATTTTAGTTAGAAGATTTTACTTAGCGAAACACAACGGCGAAAACCCGACTCTAATAGCACGTTTTGTTCCGAAGATATGATTTTTAAAAGTTTAAATTAAAATTATCAATTAAATTATCAATGACATTCCATAGTAGAGATAAATTTAAATACTCAAGGACTATTTCGGGAATGAATGGCGTTCGGCGATAAGGGACCTGATAAGATAACGGAGCTCCTCATTCATGCATTATCTCTTTAAATGTTTAAAAACCTACCTCACTTATTTTTATCAACATTCGCAATTCCGCCATTTTTGACTCCGTTGTCCGTTTGAGGTCGGGTTTGTGGCATTGTATTGTTCTAAATAAGACCTTTAATTCGAAGTGCATATCAAACTATGCTTACGTCGCAGATTTTCTTCTGATACCTGAAGAGGTACCAGAACAAAAATTTTTTTATCATAACTGAATAGTGTTTCAAAATAATATTTTGTAACCACTGAATTTGTCTACCCATGCTGCTCCGCAGCGTTGAAATAAATATCACATCCGAGAAATAATCAAATTCAAGATTTTTGATTAGCGGTCACGTATCACTAAAACTACCATATCTCAGTTAATACTTGTTCAATCTTCTTTTGGTAGCTTTGCCTAGTTGTCATAAATGTTTGTGCAAAGTTTCCATTCCTTAGAAAAAATTAATAACTTAAAAAAAACAAAATGGTGGCTGTGTGAGTAACTAAGGACTTCCTGACAATTTAAATATGATATTTAGGTATGTTAACTACCCAGGAACAATGCCCTAAAATATTGGCAGAGAGTTCCGGGACACCCTATAGATCAACGATTATAAAGTAACACCTATAATCGCAACACCGATTTTCAACAAACTACTGTTAAAATAAATTATTATACTAATACATTTAACATAAACTGTCGAAAATGGTAGACCTGACGAACAATTATCCTGAGATGTTTGGGTATCAAGTGTTAAACGGGATCTCGTGATTGAAACCCCTTAAGTTTTGTTAAATAAATAGCAAAAATAAGCCCCTTCACTGTCTCAATTCTTAAATATGTCACTTCGATCACTGTGACTTGACACTAACAAAGA